CGTGTTGGAATGAAAGACAGCAACAGCGCAATTTTTTGCTCCTAATGACATCATATTTTGGTCTTTAACCAGTTGTCTGATCTCTTTTTTCTCAGTTGTCACTTATGAAGAAACCAGCCCAATTATATCCTTTCATTAGAAATCATATTGAGTCCACAAGGAGATACTAGTAAGACCAGAAAATTTCTACCAGACATTGCGCGCATATATCTATCGAGCCGGGTTATGGCTGTTTTATTGAATTTTGGACTCAGTTCGAGGCATCTACTAGAAAATCAAACGATAGGGTGCATGTGGGTATGAATGAAAAAACATGCGCTATCAATGGTCGTTGTTGTTCAGTCGAAGGGGAATGAGGATACTAACCGGTATGCTTGTGAAAACAATCGAGTTTTCTGCTCAATAAAGTATCAGAAAAACATCATTCTTTGTAGAAACATAGAGGAATAAAGAAATTTATTGTTTATTTAATTGGTACTTATATTACTTTCTACTATGTTATGCTATTGACTCCATGTGGGCCAGTTCTTGTTTGAGTTACTAATCACTTTATCTTAGTTTGACCTAGGTGAATTTTAGATTGGCCTGAAAAGAACACATATCTTAGTATGGACTAGGCGAAACTTAGATTGGCCTACGACATATACATATTTCAATAGCTTCTTCGAACTTCCCACTTTCTATTGCTACTAAATATCCAATCGATGTATGTTTTGAATTAGTCCTAATGGTAATATAAACGGTCGATTATTGTCGAGAAGAAAGTATGATGAATGTTTATATATAGCATATTAATGTTCAAACAAAAGAGAAAAAATGAATTAGCCGACCGCGATGATTTTTCTAGAAATAAAACGACAAAGTGTAGTCGACAGAATAGTCGAAAGAATTTCTCTCAGCATTGATTAGCCAAGGATGTGAATGTGAGGTGTGAGTTTGGGTGTTCTCTTTATCCACATCCACACCGCACACCCATCCGCACTCACAACCACACCCACATCCACACTTCACCCTTACATCACTGTTTTATTACGCTGAGTAAGAAATGCGTCATAAAAAGATAACCGAAAGGAAACAAAACAGCGTCATTCCTTTTATTTCTGCTCGGACTTATCTCTTATGTACTTTTACTTGTTGGAAGTTTCTGACGTTATCATTCAACTTTCTGAACTCATGTGAATGTTGCTCCTATATAAGTGAAAACAAAAATAGGTAGGTATGGTTTCATGTGATAATTCCAGCGAGAATATTTTCGGAAAATAGCCAATAAATTCTGACAGGAGATAAGAAACGAATAACTAATTCATACGAGCAACATACAGCACTCGCTGAACACCTTACAAAGATATTCTAACTATTTTTCTTTCTATTTTTAGATCTTCTCACGAATATAACTAGCTGTTTGGTCAGTGATTGAACAGGAACAGACAAAAAAACGATGTCGGAATCTACACGAGGAGCAGGTCCCAGTGGCAAGGCAAAAATTCATAACGCCCAGCATAACAGCAAAAAGGATGCAGAAGAGGCGGCTCAGCACCAAGGACAAGGAGAGCCTATCCACCATCCTACAAGCGACAAGAGCGGTCATTATCATTCAACCGATAAAGATGGTAACAAGAAAGAATCCGGTCAGCAAGGAGGAGTGCACCATAACTATGGAAAGAACAAGTGACGATTACATAATGAGACGTAACAAAAACAACATAAAAATATGTCTTCTTGATCAGTTTTCTTCTAAAGACATTGTGTTATATATTGCACGTGACTTTTTAAAATAAATAAATAAATAAATATCTCCGAATTCGATCTGTCTTTTCTTATTTTAAATGCATCAACTAAGATTCTGACATCGGAAGTAAAAGAGAAATTGACGTTTATTAGTAAAAAGCAGTTTTTTCATGTCAGGGCTTGTTCTCTCTCCCGTGAGATACGAGCAGATTAGGTCAACTCAAATAATAACATTATCTGTCGTAGAGCTGAAAACGGACTAGTAAACTAAAGAGTTGACTATTGGCTTCTTACCGCATAATAAACGGGAAAAGAATTTCCACAAGTAAAACTCCCATGAAAAAAATCATGAAGCGAAAAATCCGGTATATTCCCGTTTCATCGACACTTCCTTAATTAGGCCGTTTCATCGACAAATTTTTTTTTCCCGTTTCATCGACAAATTCGTTTTCCCATTTCATCGACAAGTTCGTTAATGAACAATTTTCGAATATTAATGAAGAAATCTTCTCTTGGAGAAAGAAATTGAGTAGATCGTGGTGACACTATCCAACAATTTTAAAATAAATGTTATCATCAGCATAAAGGGCATATAAACACTTTCTATTAGTGAACATGATTGTTCTTCACACATAAGATTAGTCATGTAGAATATACTAGAAGAAACATAATGTGCTTGTTTCCATTGCGTTCTTTGTTTTCTCTGTTTTCTTTGTGTACGAAAACATATATAAATGCATGTGCTGTGGATATAACATATACATTCAAATCAATATGTTTTCGGTTACTGAAACTACTAAAGGTAAACAATGTTTATTATTTGATGAATATCGTTATCATCGTGAACGAATTCGTAATACTACTACTTATTGGCGGTGTGAACGTATTGGTGATTGTCGTGGACGTGTTATCCAAAGAGGTGATGATTTACCTATTGTCACATCACCACACAATCATGATCCGAACAAAATACGAAATGAAATCGAACAATTTAAAACAGGCCTGAAAAAAAGTATACGTGAAACACAAACACCTATCAAAAAAATATATCGTTCTGAACTTATTAAACGATATTCAAGTAGTCCGGATGATGTTTGTGAATTACCTATGTATCATCAAATAAAAAATTCTTTATACCGGACAAAGAATGAAAATTATCCAAGTGTTCCAGAATCTATTAATGAATTTGTTCTTGAAGGTAGGCTATATTATGACAAAAATTGCTTAATGTTTTTTAATAAATATATTTGATTTTTTTAGGTAAATGGCGTATGTCATTAGACAACCAGGATTTTATTATTATCGACCACCATAATCCTCGATTCATTACTTTTGGTACAGCACAATCATTACAAGATTTATGTGCAGCTGATCATTTATTCATGGATGGAACTTTCAAATCATGCCCATCAGTATTCGGCCAACTATATACCATTCATATTGATTCATCTGCTTCGAATGGTACAGTACCAGTTCTTTATTCTTTTTTACCAAAAAAAACCAAGTCAATTTATACATTATTATTTAATGAATTAAGAACCATTACTCTTCAACATGATTTAGTTTTAAATCTAAAATTCATTACGATTGACTTCGAGAAAGGTGCAATTGCAGCTCTAAAAAATGTATTTCCTAATTCAAAAATTAAAGGTTGTAATTTCCACTACAACCAATGTATTTTCAGAAAAATTCAAGAAATTGGACTACAACAAGATTATTATAATTCATCGAACGATGATCCAACCAGTGTAAAACGTTTAGTACAAGAAACTGGAGCTTTAGCTTTTATGCCTATTCAAGAGGTCAATGAATTATGGTGCAAAATTATGGATAAATTTGAACATATACCACGTTCACAAGATTTCTTTGATTATTTTACTGAAACATGGATTGAAAATGGATGTTTATTTCCAAGATGTCTATGGAATTATTACAAATTCAATGGTGCCAGAACTAATAATGGTTGTGAAGGATGGCATCATCGACTTAATTCAAATATTAACAGTTCGAATCCAAATTTATATCAAGTTATTGATGAATTAAAACGAGATTATGCCTTCAACATGGCCACAATCAAACAACTTACTAGTAGTACAAGCAAACCTCGACGAAATCCAAAATTTGTTCATCGAAACCAACGAATTATTGATTTGATGAATCGTTATGAAGAAGGTCGTTTGCCATTAACTGAATACTTCGATAAAATTAGTCAAACGATTGGTAAAAAATCACAATAAATTGTTGTTATTGTTTGATATAGGACTTATTTATTCTCTCATCATTTATTGTTTCTCTTCTTGTTAATTTCTGCATAATTATTTTTCTTCAAATAAATACTATTGAATAGAAAATTTCCATGAAGCGGGAAAAAAATTTTGTCGATGAAATAGGAAAAAAAAAAGTGTCGATGAAATGGGAAAAATAGCTAATTGGTCTTAATTTTTCGATGAAGTGGGACCAAACCGAAAAATCCGATTAAAATCGATTGTTTTCCAATTAAAAATCAATTAGAATGGCACGATTTTAATCCGATTAGAATCAGGTGTTGATATGTGAATCAGATTCTAATCGGATTAAAATCGTGCCATTTTAATTTATTTTTAATCGAAAAACAATTGATTTTAATCGGACTATGTGCTCTATGATTTTTTCATGGAGACTTCCATTTTTTTGATTTAAATTAGTTACTATGCTATACAACGATTTTTATCGATTAATTTACCATCTTAAGATTGAGAGTGTGGGGTGTGGGTATGATGGAAAAAGAAAGAAAAGAAAAATATAGAAAAAAATGGAGAAAAGAAATATATAGAAGAGAGAAATATCAAAACGTGAAATGTCGACGGATAATCATTGAATAGAAGAAGATCGAAAGAAAAATAGCGAAAAGGAAAAGCGTCGAAAAAGAAAAATATCGAATAGAAAAAAATTTATTTCATAATAACCACGTATAGAATTGAAAGAGAATTTATTGAATAAAAGAAAGAACAGAAATATCCATAACATTAATCTAGATCAAATATAAATAAACTTCAGGTGATGACAGTTTACTTCTTATTTGATGATATTTTTTTAGCCACGACATACGATAGCCCATCAAAAAGTTTCATCGCACCAATTTCACTATTGTTATACCGTGAATATAAAGTATCAAGTCTTTGTTGTATAGCTCGTGTTTTAGCAGTTTTTGGTCGAGTTGAAAGACTGGCTTTCATTTGAATCATCAAATGATTAAACCTGTTTTCTTCTCCTTGAATACATTTAATAAGGATTCAAATATTTGGATGAGATTTAGATAATCTTGAATTGAGTCGATTATGAAAACCTAAAAATATGTAAGATTGAATAGAACATCTAAGTACTGAAAAATGATGGAAACCCTCAGCATTATTATTTTAATCCATATACATTCCATTGTTTTAAATCGACTTTTTTTATCCATTGATTTTCAAAGTATTGAAACAAAGGTTTCAATACATCAATCTTTTGTAGTGGTGCTTGAAGAAGTGATTCATATAGATCATCAAATGATTGTAAGACTAAAGACAATGGCAAAAGATGAAGAGCCATGATTTTCTACAAATCATTCGAACATCTTCATTGCTATTATATTCGTTGAATAATCCAAGGCTTTGAATGCGTCGATATATGGCCTGTGTGAAGTGGAAGTAGCAACCTACATGATTACAATTAAGAAACTAAATAAACTAACATATAGCTATGCCTATTCAAATAAAGGTAATGTAACATGTACTTCATTACTAAGAACCTCTGTTAATACTGGTTCAAAATCCTACATAATAGTATTCGGACTAAATTTCATATTCATTTCAGTAGCAATATTTTGTAATTCACGAAATAAATATTTATATGTTGATTTTTTTTGTTAGGAAGAAGACCAAAAACACGCACAAAGCCTACAAAGCATTGGAACGATAAAGTTTTCTGTGATAAGATAAAGTCATATTTACATTGTTGATATTTAATAGCATGTAAACAATAGACTTGTTCGAATATCAATGTTGAGGCACTAAAAGTGCCGTCCATCAAAATAATTTGACTTTCGAATAACAACTTTAATTGTTCGCATGATGCAAATAGCAATAGACGGGTCTTTCTTTTTATGAATTTATCCACACATAGAAATAGTTCACCTTTTAGTGGTTTTGTATAAGCATCAGGTATATCAAAAATTTGAGAATTCGGTATTGCAGGTGTTTGAAGACGTCTTGCTTTATTCAATGAACTATCTTTAAAAATAATTTCTTTCAGAAAGAGGAGAACAAAAATTCGAATACTTATTTTTCTTTGTGATGGAACGATAGCAATAGCCAATGATGTTAAACAAAATCTCGCTGTTTCTTCATTATATATTTTTGGAACAGGAGTAGTTTCATTTTTTGCACTTTCTTTGATAACGTGTTTAAGTTTTCGAACTTCCATTTGTTTAGGTTCAGGCGGATGACTATGATCACCTTTGGTTCCTATTAGAACATCATTTATATCTGTACGTAAAGTCATAGTACATTAAGAATTTTCACATCGATAATATTTTTTTGTATTTATGGTTTTATTTAATTTAAATACGAAATTGTCCATCACTAACAATGGTTTTCCTTTTTGAGAAAAAATGAACGATAACGTTTTAGAAACAGTAGTCATATTATTTAAAATAAACAGAGGCACTTAGTGTACATTTGATTATCTTCTCATATGTAAATAAAACTTTTCAATACAAAAGAGTCGTTTATAATCTGTTTCATTTTCATTGTTAATAGCTACTTCCCATTAGAACAAATAGAAAAGAGCTCATAATTCACAGTACATTCATGAAAAGCAAATTAATAATTACGAGCAATCATCGATTACGTTAATAGTGTATATGTACATTGTTCAGTATCATAAGACTGAAAATAGATAACAGAACCAGCCAATCATAAGAGATTGATTTCAATCGTCACATTCAAGCGACTTCTTATAACTTATATAATTTCTCTTCTATTTTCAACATTCGATACTTTCTCCTTTCTACATTTCTCTTTCGATATTTTGCCTTTTCGTTCTCTTTTCATTCAACGTTTTTCCCTTGTATATTTTTCTTTTCGATATTCATTCATATTTTTCTTCGCTATTTTTCCTTTCTATCCTTTTCCATCCATTCTGGGTGTGGATGTTGGTCACCTGTTTACCCACACTCCACATCCACATCCATACCTACCCTTTCTAGTCTTTTCAAAGACCTTCTTGAACCAGTTCAAACCGAAACAGGTAGTTATTGCTTTAATCTGGATCATGGTTCTATTCGATCCTATTCTCTTTTCATACGTAATCATATTCTATATTGTATATAGATAATACCAATTATCATACCAATTCAATTCATCTTGATGAACAAATGGGCACAAACGTACTGGAAACTTTCAATGAAAGTTCACATTCATCAGCACCAAATACTAGTTTAACTGTAAGACGAGAAGAAAAAGACGTTTTTTCATTCTTGCTTCTCTCTCTCTATCTTATGCTTCGTAGACGAATGTATGTGAATCATCCTTCCATCTCAATGCGATCGACTTCGATTCTATGCCACTAAGTCCTTCATTTCGTGCTCTTCTTGACAACCTTCGTCCAGAACAAGAACAATCAACGGGACGCATTGCAAGAGAAGATGTTGAATTGAACGAAGTAACAACTAATAACGAAACTATGGCAGTACAAAATAGTACAATTAATAGTAAAAATTAATATTAGATTGCATTCTTATTTATTCTTTCAAGTTCTTCTTTTGCAAGATATCCATGAGAATAATTCAAATAATTCAAACCTAGCAAAGAATGACATTCATGTAGCTATGGCACACATCAAAAGAAACATGCCTCAGTCATACACGCTCCACTTCCATAGATTTGATAAGAAATTTCTTCATATGATCCATTCAATCCAGTTTTTATTTATCTACAGTTACTTAGATACGTACAAATATGAATATCAACAAGCCCAGCAAGGGTGTTCATCTCATGCAACATCGTAAAATAGACTCAAACAAAATTTTTTTCGTGTCTTTTGTTTTTTGGTTTTTTGGTTTTCTTTTGTATTTCTTTCTGTATATAAAATTTTGAAGTACTCTCTAACTATCATTATCAATCGAGCTAGACTTCCAGTCGATTAATACTCGGGTAGATAAGGCAACTGATTGTGCGACATGTAGCATTCGATTTACTACGTTACACGGGCTTAGCCATCATGTCCAATATTTCTGTAGACAACTAAGACTGTTTCGTGGAAGGTTTCAGCCACAAAAGTCTGTCGTTAAGATATAGAAATATTTAACGTGGAGAACATGCATGACCGCTGCAAAACTCAATAGCTCATCACACTGCAAGGAGACCATGCCTTGGCAAACACTTTGTTCCTTGCATATGAATTTCAATTCTTTGACCACAATTAGAGAATATTGTCTTAAAAGTTCGAGATTTCATTATATACGATATTCAGTCACAAAAGATGTTCATTATTTGAAATATATGTGCGTTCAATATCAGAAATATCTATGATGACTTTAATATTGAATCAGGTATGGTGTGAGTGTGAGTGTGGGTGTGAGCATTCTTTCTTTTCAGCAACACCCACACCCATACCTACACCGTCGCCACATTTGACTTTCATTTGAAAGGAGCTGCTCTTAGATACACATGTGATTTCTTTCACTCTCACTCTCAAGATAAATAGTTGAAATCTGTCTCAGTTTGATTAAGAGTCTTGGAACTCAACGAGTTACATCATCGAAGTCTTGAATATAAAAAACACAATGATAAGATGAGAACATCTCTATTCATGACTTGTTTTCATGCGTTTGTTTGAGCACAGAATTTCATCGGATCTTCTAGTAGTTTTCCCAAGCCAAACATGGAGCTCATCGTCAAGTACCACATGAGTGAAATCTGTTCCTCTTCCAGTGAGCCAAGCGATAAATTGTGGCAAGGATAACCGAGACTTCCACCCCAAGGATCTAAACGAGACACTCGACAAGTGTTGAATTAGCTCGAAAATTTCTTTCATTTCTTCAACCAATTGAGTATTAACTTGAAAATGTCGTATATGTCGCGGCAATATTGAACAAATATGCTTCACATTTGTAATATAAACATCATTGAAACGACTAGCACGCATAGAAAATGAACGAACATTGAATGCTCGTTCTAGTAGAATTCCAATATTGTCCACTGGATTCATATCTAATGTAAAATAATTTGGTAGACGAATCGATATAGTTCGTAGTTTTGACAAATCAACAAGTGTCGAAAGATATTGAATAGATCCAAGTGGCCTGTATCCATCTAGGAAAAGTTTGACATCGGTTACGTTGCGAAACATGACTGATGTGTTTGCATCATTCTAGAAAAGATGTAAACAAGGTTTTCGTTAATGCTTTTCTTATCAAATATCAAAATTTCTATTTTGAATATTCGACATATTTTTTTTTCAAACCTTTTCTACAATATCCGGTATGTTTAAATTCGTCAGATTGATGTCAAATTTGCACACACTATCCATTTGATTGTAGTGTGTGGTGTCGGTGGTAGAGTAGATTCGTTGATTTGATAATTCGTATTTAATAGTTGTTTCACACAATGGAATGGTATACAATGCAATTTGACGTCGTGCTCCTTTACTGTACTCACAACAGACAAACCAACGTTTGAAGTCGATCCAGAATGGTCGTCGAAATGGTTCGATTATCGAATTCACATCGGCTCCAAAATAGTATCGCCGCATTCTTTTAGTGAAGAAAAATTCGAATTTTTCTAGCTCGGGTAATCGTGATTGAATAATTTCTTCCCATCGAACACCATTCGAAATTGACTGAATATCATAAGGACAATTATGATTTATTAATTTTAAATATATGAGTGAAGGCGTCAATGACAGAATTTGTTCGATACCAGTCATAGGAATATTACTATTGTTTATTTTTAAAGAAATTAGCGATGAACGATTTGTGCTCGATGGCATTGTATCGATCAGATCCATTTTACATTCGTCAATTTGAAATGTTCTTAAGCCAGGTATCTGATTGATGATGGCAATACATTGTTTCTGTGTACACATATGAACTTTGAGATCTCGTAAAGAGCAATGAGTGGGCCATGATATCCGGTCTAGAGCACGTTTGGAACTGTTCAGATTGATTTTACAAAGGTGAACATTTTTGACAACCGATGAAAGGATTGTGATTGTTGAATTTGTAGCTATTCCACGTGTATCCAATGACAGTGAGACAAGAGGACAACTACTAATTCGTCGACTAATTTTCATTTGATCTCTACCACTAATTCCAATGAGAGTCAAATGACGTAATCGAGTGAATTGATGAATATGAAAAATCGACAGAAATAAACTAATTTGTCCTGGAGTTTCGATACCATCAGAAAGTGTAAGCGAAATAATATTTTCCGGTTGTAAAAGATGACAGATAGAATGAAAATTCGATTTCGAAATTGAACTTAGATTAATTGCGTATCGATTGTAAGTTTTTACAACGGCATGAAATCGTTGACAAACATAACCGAACGACAGTAGAATAGTTTCAGAATCAAGATGATCCAATATTCGATAGAATAATTCAACTGGTAATGTATCAAGTGAGACGCGTACGTCCTCATGTGCTGACATCTTGTATATGTTTGTCGAATGAAAAGAAAAATGAAAACTGCATCTACCAAGAGCACGTGTTCTCTTTCCAACTTGCCTTCATATAAATTCATCACCGTCAATGTTAAAAAAAATATTGACTCATACTTCTTATTTTACTTCCGACGAATGAGTCATGCCGAAATATCGCAATAACCAACATCATTTGGTATTAAGCCAAGATGAAAAACAGACAGTCAAATATTGAATCGTATCTGGATGAAGATCAGAGCGCGAAAAGGTCGAATTTTTACTTTATCGAAATGTACATAGACATGATAATGATAAACATTATTACATAAAGAATTTTATAGTCAAAACCGGCAAGAGCTAAAACTTTGAATTCAAAGACTTTGAAATACAAGGTGTGGGGCGTGGGGTGTGGGTATGGGTTCATCTTCTCTTCAACCATACCCCCACGCCCACGCCCACGCCCACACCCAAATGTTCATTTAATCATTGCTAAGTGTATACATGAGCATGAATTAGACGAATCCGTGCCTTGTCATTGATTAGGTCTCATAATCTCGAAATAACAATATCAGTCACTTTGACGAACAGCCAACACATAATGTGAGCTTGCTATCCGCCTAGTGTTATTTGATTATTCGTCCGCTGTTTGCATGCACAGGTCAAGTTGTTTCTTTCTTCGACAGTGGTAGCGTGAAGTACAAATTTGTATCCACCAACCACTATATAACTGGTTCAACATTTGTTATTTGAATAATTTCTCATCACTACTCACTTGTCTAGCTCGAGAATGTGATAGCTTTGCTTGCGTTGTCGTTACCTTCCTTGCGAGCCTTTCGGTCGACAACGACACTTACGACAAGAATAAGTCAACCAACAAATTCCAAGACTGTAGTGCTAATGCGCACACAGATTCCACCACTGATAATCTAATAAAACTAGTCGTGCCCATACACAATCTCAGATAGAGATTACGAGACAATATATTGTCTCATTCATGACTAGCAAGGAAGCTGCTTCAACTGGCACAACGATTTCAACCTCGTCCTTTGCCCATAAGAAGAACTATAATTCCAAAGTGGTACATTTCTATAGCCCGTGGATAAAAGGACATGGCTGTTTTATATTTTTGTTTGTGCAACATGTCACGACGCCAAATGAATCACATTTTTACTAGTTTTCGTCTGAGACTTCCTAAGACAGATATACCGAAGGAATTGAAGTATATTGTTACACCATTAAACGATCATAATTTATGTTATAAGTAGCAGACAGTATGAATGAGCTGAGAAGTGGAAGAGGGTGAAGGTGACTTTATATATCGTCTCATTTTGAAAGTCTCACACTCTATACCTTCGGAATTCAAGTGTTCATCAATATTTGAATGCAACTCTATGATGAGCAGTTCAATATCTATCTCCAAATGAAGATCATCATCGACAATATTCTTTTTTTATTTGGTTTAACTTTAACTGTTTTCGTTGTATACATGCATATATCTTAAATACTTTCAAATTCCACATGTTCTTTTGCCTTTACAAGCATGTCCGGCTTCTCCATCACAGGCGTAAACAACAATCGTTGGTGTTATATAATACCAATCATATCCACCACCGGTTGCAGTAATTGCGTATGAGCAACAGCCACAATCAACAAATGACATATTAATTTGTTGTGGTATTTGCCAATTTGCTCGATCAAAAACAACTGTACTAAACTCGACACATTGCGTGCCATTGTAGAAATAATTTGGTTGTACTTTAAATTCAACTTTAACTTGGTCACTAGGTGCATGAACTGGTAGTGTTTGCAAAGTTAATTTTAAATTATCTTGACCATCAGGAGTAACCACAAATGAGCGAGAGGGTTCTACATTAAATCCTAAAAACAGCCAGAATGTTGTATCACAAATGATGTTGAAAATTGTAATTTATCCGTATTTGCATTGCCACAATAGGCAGGCCATTGATCAGGTAAATCGAACAAATGTTCAGCCTCTGATGGAATATCATTTGTAAATGATAGATATACTGTAGTTAAATATCTATGTATATATAAACAGTTAGTTACTATCTCAAGATATA